CCGCCGCCGCCGCCGCCGCGGGTGGGAGCGGAAGCGGCCCCGCGTGGGGAGGTGTCACGGCCGCACTTCCGACGGGGCTGCGCCGGGAGCGGGGGGGGGAACGGTGGGACGGGGCTACGGGGACTCGATGTCTCTGTACGGGCCGGGCGTCTGTCTGCATCCGCAGCATCCCCACGGGAAACTCCTTGGCGGGGGGGGTTCCCACCCGTGTCAGCCCGGCCAGGGAGGAGGGTGGGAGAGGCTCTCAGGGTGCAGGGGTCCGTGGGGTGAAGCCCCCCCCCCGTCACCCAGGTCCCCAGCGTGGGGTGGGTGCGTGTGGGTGCATCCCCCCCGCGGGCGGGGCGGCCGGGTTTGGGACCCACGGACTCCCTCCCAGCTCCCCGTCCCGTGGGTCCCGTGAGGCTCAGCAGGTCCCCACCGGGACGAGGGGGACGGCGAGACCCACGCTCTCAATGGGGCCTTTATTCCCCTCGCCCAGAGCCGGGGTGTCTGCGTGCTGGGAAAGGAAAAGGCTCAGCAACCATCAAACGGCTCCCACGGCGGCACACGGGGGTCACATGAAGCACCATGAGGGTTTGGGGAGATAAAGAGGCTTTGTGGGGCCAGGGTGCGTGTTGGGGGGTGGGCAGGGGAGATGCACCGCACGGCGGTGAGGTCGGTGGCCTGGGGCTGGGAGACGGGGTGGGGTCAGCCGGGGTGCCGCAGACCCCCCCCATTACCCACAGAGCTGCCCCGAGCTCTCCGGCGGGGTCCACCCAATGTGGCCTTCACCAGCGTCCCGTGGTAGTTCTGGGATAGATGTGGCATGAGCACAGCGCCATCATCCCAAGGGCTCTGCAGCCCAAACCCACCTTGTCCAAAGCCGAGGGCTCAGCACCTCGCACCCACCCTGAGGGGGGGGAAGGAGGGGATGAAGGTGCTTTGGGGGTGGACAAAGATCCTCTCTGAAGCTCTGGGCTGTTGGAGGTGGGATGTGGGGGAGAAACGCCTAGAGAAGGTGTTCCCCCATGACATTGCAAGGGTTCAGAGCAGTAGAATAACGCTAATAAGTGATAAATAAATTGTTTTAACTTCCCATCTGCCTCACAGGCCCCTAGGCAGCCTCTCCTGCTCCGAGCTGCTCCAGCTCCGAAGGCTTCGACACCTCCATCGAGGAGAAATCGGTGGGGTAGGACCGAGAGCCGTAACTGGGGCACTTGGGCTGCAGCACTCCTAGGAAAGCCTGCAATTAAAGAAACAAAACCTTCCCGTCACACAGGAAAGGCAGAAACCGACTCGGACGTGTCTGTGACTGGGCAGGAAAGAAAAAACAGTTTGGATAAACAATGGGCTCAGTTCTGCTCTGCTCTGCCTTGAGCTGAGTGCTTGTTAATGCTAGTTCATGCTTTGCTCCCATTCGGGGCCTGAACTCAAAGCAAAGCAAAATATTCATCACTGAGAGCAAGGAGGAAAGTTTCATCCGTTCAGGGACCTTCTCCTCCAGTTTACTGAGAGGAGGCACATCTGAAACAGGCCTTTTTCATCACCGGTTTAGACTTCAACAAGCAAGAGAAAGCTACAAGTTCAGCTGAAGTTTGGCTTGCGGGACAGGGGCTGGGTTTGCTCCTCTCTCGGCTTTACTCATCCCCACCCCAGGAATTCCCGTAGGGCCGGTGGGTGCGGACGTGCCGGAGCCTGCTGCAAACCTGCTGCGTTGGCTCTGGCTCCGCTGGCGGGAACCTCCCCACGTTTGGGGGTTCCTCCCCCAAATGCCGCCCATGGCGGGAGCCAAGTCAGTGCCGGGTTCACGGAGGGAGCCGGGAGCAGCGTTTGCAGGGGTCTGTCTTCTCGCTGGGGTTGGTTTTGCACTGGTGCAGCTCAGATTCAGCCCAGCACCCCCAGTCCTGGGATTATCTGTATCTGATGGAGACCGGAGGGATTTGCTGCTTGCAATGAAAACAGCTCCGTTTCCCTGCGAGTCAGCCGTCCCCTCAGCCCCAGCTGCCCCTCGTCCCAAGGACGCTGCCAGCAGGGACAGCTGCGGGGAGCCCCAGCTCGGGGCGCAGGAGAGGGGACGTGGGGACACGGGGAGGTCTGGGCTGATCCCTTTGGGGACAGGGGGAAAGGGAAGGTTTGGAGGTGGAGGGGGCCTAGCAATTGATTTCAGAGTCGTCTCCCCCTCCCCTTCCCTCACTTTGTTCCAGAAATAAATTAGAAGCTCTCCCTCCAGGAAATTAAAAATAATTAAGGCTGAGCGCAGGACCTGATGCACTGGGGTTTCAAAGCTGGGTGTCCTGGGCAACGTAAGTGCAGTGCACCTCGGGGCTCAGAGGGGAGAAGGGTGCTGGGGTGACCCCCCAGAGCCGCTCCAGAAGGCACTGGTACCAGATTTCTCCACCAAAGCAAGCCCTGGGACTCTGGATGCAGCACCCTTTCCCTGGGCTCAGTGTCTGTCCTGGCCGCGGGAGCCCCCTTGCACCCAGGGCACTTCCACGACCGCTGGGACCTTGCACCAGCAGAGACCCGGCACTGCCATGGGGAAACGCCGGAGATGGGAGCCCGGCACTGGCCATGGTGGGAATCGTCCTTCAAACCCAGCACCTGGCTCCCCGTTCCCCACACTCGCCCCGTGTGCTGCTGTCTGCTTCTCATCTGCCGTGCGTCCCGCTAACCGATGCAACGTGCCACGGGCTTTGAACAAAATTGGTCCCAGAAAGAGCCCTCGCATGTCGGCCCCGTGCACACATGATGTCGGCCCTGCGTCGCGGACGCGGCGGCGGTGGGTGCCCGATGTCTCTGCCGGGAAGGAGGCACTGGGGAGTACAAAGCCATCTGATGCGGGATGGGTTAGGGGCTGCAGCACCCATGGGGGGACAGACCCATGCATGGCCGTGTCCGGCCCTGTCAGCGGGGACCAGTACAACAGAGGGAAGGGAAAGGACCTTCGGCATCAGGCAGGGACCTGTGGACAAGGACCCCGCCGCCTTGCCGGAGAGCTGTGGGGTGCAGGAGTAGGTGAGCGCTGGCATTGCTGCTCCCCAGGTTCTGCATGCAGCCCCTCTGCCCAGTGCACCCGCTGCATGCCCACACGTGTGCATTGCACACCCGCTGCACACCCACTGTGTGCACACCAGCGCTTGGGCTGGGAGAGCAAGCGAGCGCGGGTGCACGGGGAGGCTGCGTGCGGGGGGAGGCGTGTAGGCTGGAGGCTGCAGTGCTAGAAGGAAATGAAACATGGTTTTTTGGGAGAGTTCCACATTCTTCCCCTCCCTGGGCTCCCATCAGTTCCCGTCTCCCGCCCTGTCCCACATGGGGCACCGGCCTGGCTGTGCATGCCGGGAGCTGGGCAGGACTCCTCGTATGGGTGATGGCCATGGTGGGGCCATGCTCGGCCACGCAGCGATGCTGGGACCGGCTCAGCCAGGTGCCTTCGTGGCCAAGAGCACCCGGGCACCAGCCCACCCAGGACCCAGGTCACCCAGGACCCACTGTCCCACCAGCGGACTCAGCCTGGGACCCCAGCGCTGAGATGGGGAACCCGTCCCGAAAGAGTTAAGGGTGAAACATTGAAAAAAAAAAAAAAAAAAAATTACAAAAGAAAAAAGTGCCCT